AGAGTTTTAGAATAACAGGCTTTAATTTAAGATCCAGTATAAACTAGGGTTCTTATCTTATTTTCTCTACTAAAGAGAACCAAAACAACCAAAGCCTTTGCGCCATGTGAGATTAATGGATCATAAAGTTGGAGATAAGTGCGCATGCAAACTGCCAAGGACAACCGGTCAGCAAGAAATACTCCATCAAGCTTTGTAATTCTCCGGTCAACTTGAATCTATGATTCATGGTTTTCGCTCTCAAAAGACACATTTTCCCTGTTATCTGGATACTGTAGTATGGTGTAACCTGGCTCCATTGGGTTTTTTTATTAGGCTTTTTTCTTCACACTTCCAAGTTATGTCTGATCTAATAGCATCTAGCTCCCATAAATCTGTACTGCATGGAGATTCATTGTTGTAGGCAAAATAGACCTCCTCTAGCTCACACTCAATATGGCTCTTGCTCTCTTCTCTAACCCAGAGGCTCATCAACACGATCCATGTAATAAGTTCTGTTGTTGTCACTCTCATTTCACTCTCCATGTGTGCTTCTTCATTCCTTTCTGTTTAGATATGTTCCTCCTTGTCCCATGTGAGCCATCCATCCTTCATTCTCTGTCTCACGGCCTCACAAGAAAAAGAAGAAAAAGGCCTCCAGAGCTTGGGCTTTACAGAGTGTTGTGTTCAAGTGGCCGTCACTTTGATTATCACAGTGCATAAAACTATTGAATAATTCATTGGCTTTTGTTAGTGTATGTACTGTATTTAATACATAAAACCTACACAGAAAAAAGAAGCAGTGGTTCTAAAGTTATATCCTATGCTACATATTTTTAATAGTGATTTGCCAGTTTAATGTTTTAAGTGCAATAGGCTTTATCTACTGAAACGTAAAGATGACGTGCTTAAACAATACATTCTTTAATCAAACTACATTAACATATTCTTTGATGTCAGAGTTGAAAATTGCCTTCAGATTCACAAAGGCCAGGATAAAGACTTCTTCCTCTGCATAATTAACACTGACCTGTTTGATAGTGTCCTCCTTTTCATAACATTCTCTTGTTGTAATCTTAAACTGGGTAATTTTCTTTCAAGCTTTTACACCACTGCTGAAACTGAAATAATACTGATTTAGTGAACTTGTATTCTGTGTGTGATGTAATTATACATATAAAGCACTTTTCCGTTTTGAATGAAAAGTGTAACAATTATGTGCTTAAGCTGCCTTAGTCTGCACATTTATTTATGTATTTTATTGGAAACTGAGGAAATGAGACACTGCTGGGACCTAGGAACAGAACCTCTTTGACCACCTCGGTACACTGGTAGCATTACAACAGCCTTAGTCAAAAGAGCATTGTTGATCAGTCATGGCTGAAAAACAAGAACTGACCTTACACATCCTTTTTTATTTCTTCATTTCAAAAGGTTGTAGTTTCAGTGAGTTTTGTTTGTTCTCATTCAATCTTTGTCTTCTTAGCCTCAAAAGAACGTTAGAATCAGTGTTATTTTAGAAATATTCTATTAATATTTTTATTGTTATAATTTAAGTTTTCATTGTAATTTTAGTTTTAGTAATGTTATGTAATTTTGTCATTTTTTCCTAATATTAAAATTTCTAAGTTGTTTTTGTAATATTTTATTTTATTTCATTTAAAATAAATGGAATACATTTTAAATTTATTTAATTTTTAATTTAAATTAAAATTTTCAGTTTTCAGTAACACGTTTTAATAGTTGTAGTAGTTTTAGTAAGCAATAACAACAGTGATTAGAACAGAACATATATATACATGACTTCAGTAACAAGTTGTAGTAGTTTTAGTAAGCAATAACAACAGTGATTAGAACAGAACATATATATACATTATATACATGATATATATATATATATTCAGATTTATGCATTAGTTTCAGATGAAGTCCTGCAAGCATTGCATGGGACTTGAAATGCAATATCAAGACATAAAGAGCAGGCTGCTGAGGAAGGTCACATCTGTTTCCCATGTATCAAAATACCAAATGGATTTGCAATCAAATTTCCCTTCTGCTGCATGTGAAATGACGGTTCATGGAACATTATTTACAGTGTTCAACATCTGAATTTTGTTTCTCTTCACAATGAGGATTGAAGTGGGTCTTATATGAATGAAATCAAATGTCTTATATGTAAACTTCACAATTACTCGCAGAGAATATATTTGACTGTTGAGCAAAAAAAATGTTTTAAAAATGATGCATGCAATGCATCAATTTGTTTGAGTGTGTTGCATCCAACACAGGTGTTTAACTCATAAACTGCATGGACAGATTAAATACCAATGTATTCATAACCTCTGGCTTCTTCAGACCGACTTTTCTTGGAGTCAGTGCACTGTAAGGTTTCCAGGTCTGGTGAATGCAAGTAACCAGTGTTGGAAGTTGGAACGATTCCATTTCCAGTGCCTTAGCTCTTCTGGATCCATTGTCTCATACGTGGTAACCACATGTTTTCCCTGTTTTAAAGTTGTTACGCTGGCATGCTGCTTCAATTCATGTTGTCCGCCAACTAACAATCATTGTCTTTTCAAACTTCAGCTCTCTGAATACAACGAAGTCTTTATTGCTGTTGCTGAATTTGAAAAAACTACCTTAGTCACCATTCAATTTAATTGATTTCAAAGAAAGTGAACGGTGACTGTCTCTGTTAGTCCATAAAATCTCCTTTAATGTTCCACAGAAGAAACAAAGCAATACATGTTTGAAACGTCATGATGCTGCGCAAATTATTATAGATTTTTTTTTCCCTGGGTGGATCAACTATGCCTTTAAGATTACACTCACGTCGCCCGGAAGCTGCTGCTGAGGACAAATGCAAGTTCGAGGCGCGCGCTTGTGAGCGTGAATGACAGACGCACTCACGCAACTCGTTCGTTTGGTAAGATATGTTTGTTGAGATATTCTTTGATGCCGCTTTTGTGTTCACGAACTACAGTTTGGAAATAACTCCTAAACATCAGTCACAAGTACCTCTCGGTAAGTTGTTAAATTAATTAACTCGCGTACGCACAGCTCGTTGGCTGTTACGCCTTTTAAACATTATTTCGCTTGTGCGTAATTCCCCAATGTGAGTTTATTCTTGTTTTAAGTAATTAACCAAACAATAAACACAACCGAAGTAGGTTTGTGTTCAAATACTCTCGAGGAATTAATAAAGTGTTAATGAGCTAAAGCTGCTTCTCCTCATCAAAACCTGTTGGTGGTTTGTTTTTGTCAGTTTGTTTATCGATTTCCGAGAAAAGTATTTTTGAATCGTTTTTATGTTCTTATTTCTTTCGTTTTACTTTAAGCGTTGCAGTTAGACAGCACGACTATCATTTTGTAATGTTTCTTTAGTTTACTTCAAGGTTTCTTGAGTTAAAGAGCGAGCAGAATGCAATTTGAGCAATTGAATGATGGTTGTGCTCACACGTGAAAAGTTTGCAAAATAGACCGTGAACTAAAGTATTGAACTTTATTGAAGTGTATCCGTAAGATAAGAACAGAACGAGTTTTCGAAGCGCCATGTAAAGCATATCCAATGGTCTGGTTATCCTTCGTTGTGGCTAAAGGAAGGCTCGCTCCCGTTACTTGATACACTGCATATTTCCCAGCTGGGGTGCGCGGTCATGAAGCGCGCTCCTGGGGAGATGCATCTCTCAAAAGCAGAGAAATGACGCTCGTATGACGTCACGGACTCTGCATTTGGGTGTACATTCTAAACATTCTAAAACATGAATCTTACTCTATTAGTTGTACACAACTAATGTAAAAGTTAGTTGTATCTATGTAAAAAGGGTTAGGGTTAGTTTAAAGGGGTCATATGATGCGATTTCAAGTTTTCCTTTCTCTTTGGAGTGTTACAAGCTGATTGTGCATAGATAAGATCCCTGAAGTTGCAAAGACTAAAGTCTCAAAACCAAAGAGATATTCTTATCAAAGTTAAGACTCTGCCACACCCCCCTAAAACGGCTCGTTCTAACACGCCCCCACATATCTAGGTCACTATGTGGAATATATATATATATTCAGATTTATGCATTAGTTTCAGATGAAGTCCTGCAAGCATTGCATGGGACTTGAAATGCAATATCAAGACATAAAGAGCAGGCTGCTGAGGAAGGTCACATCTGTTTCCCATGTATCAAAATACCAAATGGATTTGCAATCAAATTTCCCTTCTGCTGCATGTGAAATGACGGTTCATGGAACATTATTTACAGTGTTCAACATCTGAATTTTGTTTCTCTTCACAATGAGGATTGAAGTGGGTCTTATATGAATGAAATCAAATGTCTTATATGTAAACTTCACAATTACTCGCAGAGAATATATTTGACTGTTGAGCAAAAAAAATGTTTTAAAAATGATGCATGCAATGCATCAATTTGTTTGAGTGTGTTGCATCCAACACAGGTGTTTAACTCATAAACTGCATGGACAGATTAAATACCAATGTATTCATAACCTCTGGCTTCTTCAGACCGACTTTTCTTGGAGTCAGTGCACTGTAAGGTTTCCAGGTCTGGTGAATGCAAGTAACCAGTGTTGGAAGTTGGAACGATTCCATTTCCAGTGCCTTAGCTCTTCTGGATCCATTGTCTCATACGTGGTAACCACATGTTTTCCCTGTTTTAAAGTTGTTACGCTGGCATGCTGCTTCAATTCATGTTGTCCGCCAACTAACAATCATTGTCTTTTCAAACTTCAGCTCTCTGAATACAACGAAGTCTTTATTGCTGTTGCTGAATTTGAAAAAACTACCTTAGTCACCATTCAATTTAATTGATTTCAAAGAAAGTGAACGGTGACTGTCTCTGTTAGTCCATAAAATCTCCTTTAATGTTCCACAGAAGAAACAAAGCAATACATGTTTGAAACGTCATGATGCTGCGCAAATTATTATAGATTTTTTTTTCCCTGGGTGGATCAACTATGCCTTTAAGATTACACTCACGTCGCCCGGAAGCTGCTGCTGAGGACAAATGCAAGTTCGAGGCGCGCGCTTGTGAGCGTGAATGACAGACGCACTCACGCAACTCGTTCGTTTGGTAAGATATGTTTGTTGAGATATTCTTTGATGCCGCTTTTGTGTTCACGAACTACAGTTTGGAAATAACTCCTAAACATCAGTCACAAGTACCTCTCGGTAAGTTGTTAAATTAATTAACTCGCGTACGCACAGCTCGTTGGCTGTTACGCCTTTTAAACATTATTTCGCTTGTGCGTAATTCCCCAATGTGAGTTTATTCTTGTTTTAAGTAATTAACCAAACAATAAACACAACCGAAGTAGGTTTGTGTTCAAATACTCTCGAGGAATTAATAAAGTGTTAATGAGCTAAAGCTGCTTCTCCTCATCAAAACCTGTTGGTGGTTTGTTTTTGTCAGTTTGTTTATCGATTTCCGAGAAAAGTATTTTTGAATCGTTTTTATGTTCTTATTTCTTTCGTTTTACTTTAAGCGTTGCAGTTAGACAGCACGACTATCATTTTGTAATGTTTCTTTAGTTTACTTCAAGGTTTCTTGAGTTAAAGAGCGAGCAGAATGCAATTTGAGCAATTGAATGATGGTTGTGCTCACACGTGAAAAGTTTGCAAAATAGACCGTGAACTAAAGTATTGAACTTTATTGAAGTGTATCCGTAAGATAAGAACAGAACGAGTTTTCGAAGCGCCATGTAAAGCATATCCAATGGTCTGGTTATCCTTCGTTGTGGCTAAAGGAAGGCTCGCTCCCGTTACTTGATACACTGCATATTTCCCAGCTGGGGTGCGCGGTCATGAAGCGCGCTCCTGGGGAGATGCATCTCTCAAAAGCAGAGAAATGACGCTCGTATGACGTCACGGACTCTGCATTTGGGTGTACATTCTAAACATTCTAAAACATGAATCTTACTCTATTAGTTGTACACAACTAATGTAAAAGTTAGTTGTATCTATGTAAAAAGGGTTAGGGTTAGTTTAAAGGGGTCATATGATGCGATTTCAAGTTTTCCTTTCTCTTTGGAGTGTTACAAGCTGATTGTGCATAGATAAGATCCCTGAAGTTGCAAAGACTAAAGTCTCAAAACCAAAGAGATATTCTTATCAAAGTTAAGACTCTGCCACACCCCCCTAAAACGGCTCGTTCTAACACGCCCCCACATATCTAGGTCACTATGTGGAAATATTTGCGTAACGCCGCCCAAATGTTCACGCAAAGAAAGAAGGCGTGGTTTCAGTAACCGCAGTTAGTGTTGAAGCAACCATGTCAGGGAGACGCTGTGGCATCATATGACCCCTTTAAACTACTTTATAGTTTAAGAGCTCTATGTACATACAGTTAGCGCACAAAGTAACAAAACAAAACCAGTCTTTGCTGTGCTGCACTGGATTATTTTATGATCCAGTCTCATTTGCGTTGATCTAATATAACACCATCACTGATGCTGCTTTATGACTTTGTGGTTCCTTTTTGAATTTAGTTCTGCTAGAAACAACTTCATTTTTACATGTGGGTAGTTGGTCTGAATTGGTTATGGGAAGTTGTTCTCTGTGACATGCTGTAGGCCATCTAAAACTATTTTAAACAACATTTGCATAATGCATTTATATAATTAGGCAATCAGTTTTATGACATCCTATTGAGAGACTGTATGTATTTTACTTGAAAATAAGAAGTCAATGAAAAAGTGGACTAGTTACAGGACCTAAAATACACTTTCCCTTATACCTTCAAATATGTTTTAAACTTAAACCTTATATTGATTTAAAAAAAAAAAATAACATACATTGTTTTGAATCCAAGTTCATTACTTTAACACATGGATTTTATTAGAATGCATGTATGCATATGGCTGACAGCGAGCATTTGTGATCTGCCCTGCCCTTTACTGTAAGCGAACAGTAATAAATGTAAGTGTGTAATCTCTTACCATTACATTTGAATTATGAAACCTTGTTTTGCATTTACAAAGGCTATGAAACAGGCTGTCAAGTCAGTTTGGTTGAGAAATGGCTAATATTCATATGATAAACTTATACAATAAAAAGTGGCAAAACAATAATAGGAGCATTTTGTTATCAGGTCTTTTTACTTGTATTCAGGGTGTGCCTGGGTTGCATTTGGAAACCCTCCTGAGCTTTAACGATTTCCTGCATGGCCTTTAAAATCTGAGTTTAATGGGTTTTGTAATGCTGGCAGCTATTAGCATAGATCTTCAACCAGAGAGAGAGAGTGAGAAAATGAAGGGCTTAGAGATTGGTATAGACTGAAACGGAGACAAGTGGCCCAGTGATGTAGGTCTGTTTTTATACTCCAAAGACATTAAAGGGGTCATATGATGCTGCTAAAAAGAACATTATTTTGTGTATTTGGTGTAATGAAATGTGTTTATGTGGTTTAAAGTTAAAAACTTTTGGAAGACCAAACAAAGTAGTTTCGCTTTCACAACGAAAGGAATAGTGCACCCAAAAATTTAAATTTACTCACCCTTGGGCTATCTAAGATGTAAATGAGTTTATTTCTTCATCAAAATGCATTTGGAAAAATTTAGCATGACATCATTTGTTCTCAAATGTATTCTCTGCAGTGAATGGGTACCATCAGAATGTGAGTTAAAAAAACTGATAAAAACATCACAATAATCCACAATCAGTTCGCATGACTGCAGTCCATCAGTTAACAAGTGAAAAGTTGCATGTTTTTAAGAAACAAATCTGTCAAGGCATTTTAACATGAAACTTTTGCTTCTGGCCAAATATGAGTCCACGATCAATCATAAGAAACTGAAGAAATCCTTTGCCTGCTGTCCTCACATAAAAATCCACTGACATATTTATTTAGGAGGTTTTTGGATTGTTTTCACTTGTAAACAGTACTTGAACTGTGCATGTTTCTCTCTTGATTCCGACAAGATTACTTTTTCACTGGAGAAAGCAAATCATGGATACAGGAATCATATTTTAGCCAGAAACAATGGTTTGAAGTTAAACGATGTCTTAATAATGGATTTGTATGTTACAAACATGCAGCTTTTTGCTTCACAAGACGTTAGTTGATGGACTGGAGTTGAGTCAATTGCTTTGTGGTGTTTTTATCAGCTGTTTAAACTCTCATTCTGATGGCACCCATTCACTGCAGAGGATCTGTTAGTGAACAAATGATGTAATGCTAAATTTCTACAAATCTGTTCCAAAGAAGAAGCAAACACATTTACATCTTAACTCTTTCCCCACCAGCATTTTGCCAGTTACCACCAGCGATTTTGATGATTTTCACTAAAATTTGATGGCCTCCAGTATATTTTGCTGTATGAATATTTGAATATGCAATACACCAAAATAAAGATCAGAGCCTCTACTTTTAAACAAAAAAAATCTGTTTTATTCTAGCTTAAAGCATTCTTTTTTTTTTTATCAACACTTCAATATAGTTTTGAGCAAAGAGTTGAGAAAAGCACATTTTTTATCAAAAACTACATCTGGATAATGTTCAGTATGATTATCAAAGCATAAATCCAGTAAATCGCTTCCATCAACACCTCCAAAGCTTGCACAGACATATACCACTTCCTGGATCAACATTTTACTCCGTAACATTATGCAGATTTCATTTATATGCTGTCTATTGCTGATAATCGCATTATTTTTCATATGCATCTGTTTACATAA